CGAGTGTTTCTTGGCAGCCTGCGGGCTAGGACACATGTTTACCAAACGTATGCGCCTGAGTTTACATCCGCCTGTAGTGCGTTTGTACCAGAATTGATTGAAGATATATTGACTGATTTTTCCTTTTTGCAGAAGAAGCTTTAAACATGTTGTAGACGGAGAAGACTCCCAAGCGGTCCTCTACAGTCATCTGGAAGGGGCTTGCGGAAAAAAAGGCGGTCGCAGTCAAGGCCAAGGTAAAAAACACTTGACCCTTTCTTAGATTGGTCTCAAAGATTATTTGCTCCGGATGCTAACTTTTACTTAGTTATTTTTGCAGGGGGGAGAGGTAGGAAAGACGTTTGAGAAAGATCTCAAACGGGCTAGGGAGGAATCCACCTTCATTCTTAATAAGACCAAAAAATCCACCTCCGCCTCAACTCCTGGCGCCTCGGCCAGGAACCAACAGATGCGGGAAGGGGGTGAAACAAGAGGATAGGCGGCAGTATGTGCCTCGACCTCGTCACCCCCTTATCAGCAACCAGAGGGTGCACCACGCTTGGCCGGCTCTGAAGGTAAGAACCCTTCTGAATCCTCGCCTGAGCTGGGGTGGCCTTTGCGAGTGAAATCCCACTCCCAACGTACGTCATCCTCAGACGATCGGCAACAGATAGGTTCTACCTTAATTTCGCACTCATCAACTATTGATTATGGTGCGGATCAATCTCCCCGCTGGCCAGACGTCCAGAAGCATGCTAAAGCCATGCTGGAAGCGGTGAGCAAGAAGGACAAGAATGATATCCCTGGGATAGAGACGTTCAACCTGGAACGAATCTTGTCCCTTCTGGCTGAGGTAAGAAACTTAACAATTTTTTCAAATCCTTTTCAAGTGCTTTACTCCGCCTGTAGTACTAACTTGATATGCTTTTTTCCAGGCGATGCTGCGGGTAGACGGGCTCAAGCGTCCTTATTCCCGCAAATGGGAAGAGGTAAAAAGGGCCAAGAAGTCCTCCACAAACGCTGATAATGTTGCTTTATACTCCACCATCGTAAATGAACTTGAAACTAAAGCAATAATAATGGCACAGGTGTCAAAAATCCAGCAGCGGGAGGCGGATCTTAAAACGGCCAACCAGCGGGCAGGCAACGCTGGGACGTCTCAGAAGGGGGCGGAGGAAGCCAAGAAAAAGGCGGAGGAGAGCCTCAAGAAGTCTGAGGAGGCGCTCAAAAAGGCCCAGGCAGACCTTGGCACATTGCAAGGTGCTTCTGAAGAGAACACCAACCTGAAGACCAAGGTCGAGAAGCTGGAGAAGGATGCTGCTCAGGCTCAGGTGAACTTTGCAGCAACCCTGGAGGCGGAGCAAAACCGCCTGGTTGCTGAGAGTGATGCGGACAATGACGCCCGCATGAAGATCGCCTGGGCTGCCTTGTACCCAGACCAGGATTATGGCATCTAGGCACTTGCTCACAGGTACGCCGAAGACGTGGTGTACTTGAGAGAGAAAGGTGAGCCAGAGCATGAGTCCTTCGACACCTGGGTTAACGCCAACAATGAGCCCCCCACGCTTGAGCTACTTGGTCCAGGTGAAGCACTAGAAATTCCCTCAGATGGTGAGGAAGAGGACCAGGAGGAGCCGCCTGCAGGCCAGAAGTGATTTTTCAGCGGCAGTATGCCTATCCCTCTTTTTTTTTTCTTTAATTCTGCGGCAGTATGCCAAAACTTGCTTTTCCGGCCTGCGTGCCGTGTATTCTTGTTTTTACCAGCTGAGGAGCCGGGTTAATTAACAATTTCTCTTTTCCCGGACGGGGTCCGGTTAAAATTTGATCATTGGATTTCAATTAATGTTTGGTTGGTTGGAATCTTAATTAATGTACCGACTGAGTCGGTTTTGATCATTGGATTTCAATTTTTCAGTTTTTGCATTTTTGCGTATATGCCTGATTTTTGCCTAACTTATCAAAAGCATGCGGCTATTTTTTTACCTAGCTTAGCTTATCAAAAGCTTGCCTAACTTATCAAAAGAATGCGGCGATTTTTTACCTAGCTTAGCTTATCAAAAGCCGGTTGTCCTTGCCCCTGGACGACTGTCTGGTTGGTTTCAAATGGAGTTGGTTGATTGACTTGGGAACGTCTGATGCTGCAAAGAGCATAATACGTTTGTAAGTCAATCAATCACAGTAGTGATTTCCCCAAACCAAGTGCACAGCCATACACCAATAGGCGATCCAGACACTAACAAGACGGTGTTTGTCCGTCTTGGTAGAGATTGCATAGCCATTGCACAATTCTTTTGCCCCAATTGGGGTAGAAAGTGCAACTTTGGAAAAAATAACCTAAGTCAGAACTTCAGCCGGTGACCGACTGATGCCCTAGGGCATCCGGTATTCAATATTTTGATTGTTCCTCACAGGTCATTCTGGTCAGACGGCTATGAGTTGACCAATTCGGTCGTTCAATTTTTGCCGTCTTCATAGGTATGTAGAACCGACAAATAGTCTGTTCTCTGCAATAATTGCACCCGAAGGGGTGTCGCCGGACTCCTTTGTCCATGTTGGGAGAGGTGATTTTATAAAATGAGCAACCATCCGGCCATTTTAGCCTTTGGTCTTGTTTGAGACCGGTTGTATAGCCACTAAGCGTTTATGTGCTTAGTTTTTAATCGGATCATCGTTACAACATTAAATTTACACCAAGTGTCAAACTTAGTTATTTTAAACAAATAAGCCCCTGATTAGGTCACTCTGACGTAATTCTATTTAGCTGCGCTGAATTACGGCTTTATCAAGATTTGGGCCCTGAGGGCCGCCTTTTCTCCAGATTTTGTGAATGACACGTATCAAAAGGCAATTGGTCCAATTTGGACTAATAGAGGTATGACACGTGTCATAAGCTAATTGGCCCGCGTGGCATGGGTAAAATTACCCAAAACAACTACAGTCAGGCAAAATATTATTTTGTTTGATATTAGCTTTAAAGTTACAAATTTACATTTTCAATTCCATAGTATGAATGTCATGATTTAAACTCTTGATAAGTGTACACCCTAACTTCTTAAACTAATATATACATAGGAATAATAACCACAAATCTCTCTTCTACCTAAGATTAACACAATATTTTCTCTACCCTCTCTGTATAGTTCTTTAATTTTCTAAAGTTTTTCAGTAGAATAAGAATTACTGCTAACCCTGACCCCGATGAAGAAGATAAATAACATAAATTACAATTGACATAGGGGAGAAATAACTATTATGAATCTATTAAGCATTAACAAGAAAAGATACTGAGCTAATATGATAATAGAGTTGATTAATTTGTGGAACTATTTGATTAAGTCTACTATGCTAGACTAATCCCTTGAATTAAACTGTTCTTTTTATTGATGACTTCAAGGTTTTTTTTATTTTTTACTTCAAGTAATTATAATTTATATTAAAAAGTACCTTTTGCGTTCTTAAACTGTTGTTCTTGACTTTTTAAAATCCTTCAATATTAAACTTTTGTTCTTATTGATGTCATGCATGCGATTATGAATCTATCTCCTTGGGATACTAATTTATGCCGTCAAATAAGAACAACATATGGAGGAGCTAAAGAAAGTGCATAGAGCTAACCTTCACTATTACTTTTATAGATAGATTTTGCCAGAGTGACATTCAACGGTGGTGTATTTCGCCAAGGCTCGCTATACTCGCTTGATTTTTTCTTCTGATTGGGAAAAATACAATGACCACTGCATAAACAACAATATATCCATCTACAAATGATCGAATTATATTTTTTAATAATACTAGTAGAAATTATTCATTTTCCAGCCAACATCACTTCTTCGAGGACCGCTGCATCAAAATCCCGCTTAGAAACAAGGCAGCGGGAAAAGGCACAAAAATTATCCCGCCCTTATCTTCTATATTGGCGCTCATATGAAAAAAATAATAATAAAAAAAATATGTAATGTGTCGCAATCTAATGCAATGTATATGTGGAACCAACATACATGATATCCTTGTCACCTTCTTACTTTTAAATCCCTTAAATGCTTGGTAGCCTGGTAGGTAGGGGTGTTCAAATTCGGATCCCGGCTTTTTCGGTACCTAAAAAGGCGGGTACCCAAAGCTTCGGGTAGTTAAATGCTCGGCCCATGTCCCGACCCGGTTAAACCGGGTACCGAAATGCGGGCTATGATTCACATATTAACTCTTCAAAATTATTAAATACATAGGAGTAATTCTTGATGGTGGCTGGATTTGAACTCCTTTCTTTCTTTTCCTTTCTTCAATCTCTTTCTCTTCCAAATTGTTTGCTCTACTACATTAATTTTCTTAGATCCTTTCTTATACTATGGGTTGAATCAACTCAGGTTGTTGTCGGAGCCAAGGATTATCTAAAATAAATATGGTATTAGTTATCTCAGAGAAGATGATTTCTAGGGGAACATAAATATAGAATAATTAGAACGATAAAAAACTTATCTCTATAGAGGAATCAGATGAAAGAGGAAGAATGAGAAGGAGAGAGATGAGTGAATGAGGAGATAGAAAGTGGAGAGGAGGGACATTTGGGTGCGGCTACAAGAAGGAGATTTAGGAGAGAGAATACAACCCCTTTTTTTTGGTCAAAACCTATTCAAATTGAAGGATAACCTAGAAGAAAAAAAAAATGGTTTCGGGTTGATCGGGTACCCGACTTAGTTATAAGCCGGCCCATGCCCCGACCTAAATTTTTATGTTTTTAACAGGTCGGGTACCCGACCTCAAAAGATGACTAAAATTCTCAAACTACCCGGATTTATTTTTGCGGGTCATCGGGTCGGGTCAACCGGGTCGGGTTTTTTTTACACCCCTACTAGTAGGCATGTGTCCATGCATACATAATTACATATACAAAGTATCCGTTAGAACTTGGTCCAAACACAACTACACACTTCAATCTTTAATATTTTGAGCTACAAAAGATACCAGTATTTTGAAATGGCTTACCGGCAAGTAACAAGAAAGCACATTAAATACAAAATAAGGAATTCACCTCGCCATATGCGATGATGTTTATTAAAGTTTGATAGTCTTGCCATAATGTTTGCAAACGTCTAAATTACTCGACATAAAACCACCATGCCAATGCTTATGCACCGAATACACCCTAAATGACTAGGGAGTTGTGCTTTAATGCTCGTCTTTGAATATGGATCATAACATAATAAAATAGCTGCTTCGGTCAAAAAAATGCTACAGTTTTAACTATTGCTCTAGTTCCAAATACACCCTAAATGACTAGGGAGTGTAACCTGTCTACATCAAAAAGATGAAATATGTAATGCCAATTGTTGCTCATACATTCTCAAGTACATTAATTATCAGATAATGATCAAGTAACGGAAGGCAAGCGTATACAAAGAAGCAGCAATGTGTGACATATGATAGCATGACATATAGGATTAACAGACCAGATAGAGCTTCAAATCTTTAATGTGCACGGGTCATTTTCATTTTTGGCCCAGCCTTTTTCATCTGACGAGTACGTTCTTTAGCTTCTTTCTTGCGAATGGCCTCAGCACTAAGCTTTGCTTCAGCCTCCTCCATCATCTTTCTCCTATCGGCTTTCTTTCTTTGCAAATTCTCTTGCCTGGCATTCTGCAATTCTTTGTATGCTTCTTGGGCAGCCTTGACTCTGGCAGCATCAGTTTTGGAACGTGCCTGTAATTGCAGAAAAGATACCCATTAATAATGAATGAGAAATCAGATTTAAACATGAACAATAATATGCAAAACCAATACCTGTGAGCTCAGTTTGTATCGTCCAACTAAATCAATGTAATATGGCACTAGAGCCACAAGCCTAGTCATGTCAGCCATGTTCTTATGATTGGGAAGAGCAAATTTGAACATTAACTTCTTTTTATGGACCCCAGAATGTTGGTCTGAGAAATGCATAGAGATAAAGTACTTCCCAAGCTTTTCAAAAGCCTTCTCTCCCAAGACCTTCAAAGAAGAATACATTTTATTTAGAATTCTCGTGTAAAAAAAGCTACAAACGTGCATGCAGATTGCAGAGGAGAGACTATCACAGCACAAAAAACATGGATGGTAGAGTACAAAATAAATATAAAAACATGAGCACAATTCAGCAATTGATTCCCAATTCCAAAATCTGAAAAGATAAAAGAACCCAAGATTGGAAGAGAGAGGGAAGAGGCCTGAGAAATTTTCAAAGTAAGCTCACTCTAGTCCCTTTCACTGCCAAATTGTTACACAGATTGCTAAAGCAACTCAAAAAGGAAAATTTGCTTCACAATTTACACATATTTGCTCTTATAATAATAAACTTATCAATAACTCTACAGCAGAAAAATGTGATATTACTCTATAAGTGATACTACAACAGATGTGAGGTATAATGATGGGCAGAAACCGAAAGAGAGAAATAGAGCCAGTGACACAATGAACATAATTTCAACACATAACAACATGAAATTTTCAATCACATATATCATAGCTCATCTTCCCTAACAAGCAGAAATTTCCATCTCAAATATTCACAAATTGCACCATTAATAAAACTGTCAGAAATTTCTTTTAAACTCTTAATTTCCCTATATTGGAAATGAGGAGGGTAGGGCGTGTAGTAACTCTTCTACTTGACTATCCCCTAGTGAATTATTTCACCACAAAGTTTTTAGAAAATACCAAGCAAAATTAACGAAATACCCATAGTTGAATTGATTAATCATTTGACACAGAAGACAAGTTATGACATTTCACACAGCTTTAAATTAAAGAGAATAGATAGAAAACAGGGGAAGGGGAGGGGGGGAGAGAACAAAAAAAATATTACTTATTTTAGAAATAATTCAAAAAAAAAAAAAATCTTTTGTTAAAAAAAAAAGGAAAAGAAAAGAAGATGCAACATATGAAATAATAAAAAGGGCAAATAATGGTGGCAACTAGATAGATAGGAGAAAGATTGAGCACAAACTTGTACTTCCACCATTACTATTGCATCATGTAGAGTTTTACAATTATTGATGCAAATCTGAGACAACTAAAATCTTTAATTATCTATTAAGAAAAACTACTACCTCTGTTTCTACTTAATTGTCCTATGGGGAATCTTTAATGATTTCAATGCTGATGGAATCTAATACTTCGAAACAATTCTTGGTTTCCAAATATGTAATACTATGTAATACTTAGATTTTTCTTGTACAATGCAGTTTGAAATTGTTTAATCATAATATAACATTGGAAATTGTGCAAAAAGCAACAAAAAAAGATTGAAACAGAGAGGGTATAAAATTTGACATTGTGAAAGATGAATTGATACAGATCTAATAAGAATCCGCATGACTATATTTGACCGTTAATTTAGGTTAGCTCAACATCAGTACCAGGAATAAATCAACACACATTACGACATTATTATGTCTATAAAATTGATGCGTAAAGTTAAAACGAGTATTAAGATTGTTTGAGGAAAGAAAACGTATACAAGTAATTGCCATCACTGTAATATGTAACTCAAGAAGAAAAGAGAACAGTGATCTATAACCCAACTTCCTCAATAACCATTTTTTTTTTCAATAATGTTGCTTAAGCAACCAAGAAGTTTGCAATAAAAGACATGAGGTTTATGTTCCTGTTGATGATTGATTTCCTAGAAAAGAACCACACAATTGATGAAACTTGGAGCAAAGGTTATACATTCAATCTTTGTCAAGTACTCTCTCAAATTCTAAATCTCACAATTACCAGCCACATACAATTTTGAGAAATCTTAAGATAATGGGCCACTCTTCATATCTATTAAGTTGAATATTACTATTATTATTTCAATCCCATTGAACATAAAACTCTCTATATCTTCTAGGATTTGATGCATTAGTATCATAAAAGATGCTTGTTCTACAATTGTATAATTATGAATGATGATCAGTTAAATCATGAAATTTCAAGCCAATGCCTTGAAATTGACTTCCTCCCACTTGTGGTCAATGAGGGTTGGAGTACAGAACAATCAATAACACTCACAACACTTTAAGCTACCAGAACCTTCCCGGAAATATATCATAAAAATTAACAGATGAAGTTAACTAGCATACCCATCTTCTTCCAATATATAGAATGGATTCAACGCAATGAAAATCTTTAGCAATAAAACTAAACCTTGCCTCCTTCTACCCATTGCTCTTCTGTAGAAAACCCATATACAATTTCATCTTCTCTAATCCGAAAAAAAACAATCCAGTATATATATATATATATACATATATATATATATATATATTGGGGGGTGGGGGGGTGGAGGGAGAAGAAAATTATGGCTCAAAATAGAATGAACAATCCCTAAATTTAGGGGCTTGTATATAAATACTATTTTAATTTTTTTTCCACCAAGGAAAGAGCACTTTATAAAACACTATTGCAATTCTAACATGACTCCATAGAAAAAAGTCAACTTTATATAAAATCAGCCTTTTCAATTCTTGATGAGATCTACTAACTTATCACATCAAACCATCAAAGTAATACATTATAAACATTATATCAAGATCATAGCTTTAAAAAACACCCACAAACAATCATACATATCAAGCCATCATATATAAGTCTAGCTAATTTTCAAACAAGGTAACAAATAAACACAAATTTCTCAATAATACAATCACAAAAAACCCATGACAAAGTTAAAACCATAATGTATTAACGACGAATAAGAACCCAAAAATAGAGAATTATACCTGATCAATCACAACTTCAGTGATTAAATCACTAGCAACCTCCTTAGACTCAGAGACAACACTCAAGTCCTCAGAGAGCCACTTTTTATTACTTGGTGTTGGCATCAAAGAAGCAAATCTCTGAAGATCTGGCAACTCCTTAAGCATAGTTTTCGCCGCCTTCTTCCTAGCAACCGCAAAAACAACCTGATCCATGGCTTCGTCGTTCATATAAACCTCGAAAGTAATTTCATCTTTGGTAGGCACAACAGCATAGTAAACCCTGGATATTAAATCATGTCTACTCTTCAACTCCAAAGTAGCCAACAACCCTTGGCAATAACGCCGACCACTGGCATAAAACTTAAACACATTTTGACCTTCTTTCAACAACAATGGCGAATCCTCCCCTTCGCCGACCCCAAGCAGGGAGAAATTCTTCTCGAAAATGGTATCCTTAGTTGCAAATTTGGCAGCCCAAGCTAACGCCAAATTCTCATTCTCCTTCTTCCCACTAAAATAATTAATCCCAAACACAATCAAGAAGCTAACACAAGCAATTTCAATACTGTAAACGGAAATCAACGACTTAGGATCAGCAACGAATTGGGTTTTCGCTACAAACTCATCCTCCTCTTTTTCCTCCTCAACAGCAGCACCCTCACCCTCACCCTCCGTAATTTCAGGATATTCTTGATGGGATTCCACAGGAAGACCCTCAAACTCGTCTTCATCCCAGTACTCAGATTTGGGATAAGAATGAGATTCTTTGGTTTTAGGATCTGAAGGGGGAGGAGGGCCGTGGTGCGTCTGCGAATCGGATTGGGTTAAAATCGGCGAAGGCGGGAGATCAGTGAGATGAATATGCGAGTCAAGTGGGTCATCGACTTCATCTAGTTCATCGCCAAAACCTTCGAATTGGGGAGGAAGAGAGGCGTAGGTGGGGAGAGAGAGGTGGTGAAGGAGGAGAGAGAGAAGAGAGAGAAGTGCGAGAGTGTACCAGAGTGCGTCGCCGCTTCGAGGGGGTAGTAGAGAGGTTACTGGTGTGATGTATTGAGAAGTCTTCGATCGTTTCGCCATCTTTGGTTGAGCAAAGAGAAAGAGAGAATGAAGAGGAGGTGATGATTGATTATGGTTGTTTTTTTTGACAGGATTATTGTTGTTTGTTGCCAACAATAAATGCAGCCTGGCTTTTATGATTTATCAACTTGTTTTGGACTAATAAAACACTTGTTTATGCAATTATGCTAAATATGTCCTCTTTTTTTTTTTTACACAGTATTTCCTCCAGTTTTTGCTTGGCCTTGTGATCACAAAAAAAAAAAACCAAAAAACAATTAAATAAAAAAAGTCTTGATTGTAAAAATTATTATTTGGAAAAATATAGATCATGTTTTCAACTCAAGGTCTTATACCCACACCCCGACATAACGCAGCGTTCCCCCACTAACCTTTAGCAACTAGTCTTTAAAAAAAGTTTTTATAATTGGCCTTAATGTGTTTGCATGGTCTTTAATTATAACAACTAGATGAAGCCCGTGCGATGCACGATTTGTTTGAATTTTTTAAAATAATTTTTTTTATACATATATTTATGTGCTAAAATTTGTTATATATTTAGATAAAATTCCTAATATCAAAAGATAATATTTTATATTTAATTAATTTAAATTGGAAAATCTTATTCGCCAATTTTGCTTACGTGGCATTTGAATTATTTAATTATAAAAGATTTTAATAATCTCCTATTTAATTGGTTACTACTAAAATTTATAATCCTACTGGCACTCTAAGAAAATTAGATCCTATGTGGCTCTCTAAAAACTCAAGAAAAAACTCCCCTTTATATATATATATTAGATTTGCATATCATATCATATAACTAATATATAAAACTAAACTTTTAGTCAGGTCACGAGACAGCGACACTTGGCGTTCCAACTTTCCGCCAAGTGTCGCGCCACGTTCGATAGATTAAAATAGACTTCATAAGATTAAAAAAAGTAAGTTTAGAATTTTATTTGGATAGAATTTTAGGATAAAATTGTTAGTTTATAGTTTTATTTTCGATAAAATACCAATATTAAATTGAATTATAATTTTATTCAAAATATTATTATTAGTTTTTATTACGTACCTACTACATAATGTAAATAAAAATTATCTTAAATTCAATAAATACCCGGGCATCGCACGGGGCACCAAACTAGTAGACAATAAATGTATTAGATGTTGTATAACCGTGCAATATTGTTCAAAACTTTAGTAGAGTTAATTGAGTTTTAGTGAGAAAGTGACAAAAATTATAAAGTCCTATAAATGTTAATGTTTTTGGTGCTCGGTTTTGATAAGAAAGTTATATTGTAACACCCTAGAAATTCCTTTCTTTTAAATACCCACTTTACTTTTTTTTAAAATATGATTTAGGAATATCTAAGACATTACTGCCACCGTGAAAACGGCTAAGTCAATTATCAAAGATACACAGCGGAAGACTTAAAAACCGTTTAAACAAGTCAACCAAACGAAAGTAAAGTTTAAAACCAAACAAACAAAGTCAAATAAAATCAAACTACAACTTGGAACCATTAAAGACCCTTATTCACAACCGTTCCAAAACCAAACCTTTGTGTTAGTCCACATAAAATATGTCATAAATAAATAAAGCATAAAACACATCGTAAACTAATGGAAGCTAGCAAGATTCACTCTTCTCTCATGCCCCATCATGAATATGCTTCAATTCCTGAAAAGTTTATCTCTACTTGTCTCCACTAGTCTCCATTAAAAATGGGTCATCATAGGGCCAAGATAAAGACATGGTCAAACACACAAACACACACAATCAGCAAAGCTGAGTACATAAGCGTAATTAAACACACTAACATGCTTTCACCTATCGAAACACCTACCTTATTGCACCTGTTTACAAGCACACACAACAATCAACAAGACACATTAACTAGACACTAAATAATTCATTTAGCGTTGATTACGCATCAAACGGGTTTCCCACTATCCTCCCCCAAATAAATTGAGGTTAACTGACACGGGAGCTAACCGTGCCAGCGACAAAATCACTCAAAGGTGGCGGAATTCCTGCGCATAATAATAAATAAAAAGGAATGTACAGCGTCTTGTACTCCATTAGAAGTTATGGTTAAATATAAAACCCCATAACTCCCCCCCATTGTTCATACTCAAGGTATATACGTTCCAAGAGTTTTGGTGCATAATCTCTTTCACTTTACGTTATTTACATGTTATTGGACTTGGTGATGACTCTCAAAGCATACTAAATCAATCAACAATATTTATTCAATCAACCAAGCATACCAATTTAATTCTTGAATAATTTGTGACCACATATTATTTAATGTTGAACCCTTTTTAATTCTACCTCAGTGTCAAAGACACCTTAAACGCATAAAGCGCCAAAAATCCTATCCCTTAGTGTTAAAAACACCTTAAGTGCACAAAGGCACCAACATACAATTTATTCCTTGTGTACATAGACACTTATATAGCTCCTTCCTCATGCTTAAAGCATCAATAAAAATTATTTGAACCATAATAAAATTCCTTTTCAATATTCCTAACATAATTAAACATGTAGTTTAATTAATCATGCATTCTAACATGCCATAAATAAAAGTGTGGTTCAAACACAACATGCCAAACATTAATTTTCCAACTATTAATCCATCTCAAATAAATCATACTTTCTAATTTAATCACCAAAATCAATAATCCACAATTTCCAATCATAAACCTTAGCATGATACTATTTAGGATTAATTGAATCAAGTCTAGCATAATACCACATCACTAAAACTATGCTATGTACGCGTACGTACCTTGAGTACGATTTTAAAATTGCCACGACTAGTAGAAATTGCTTACTTCAAAGTCTCCTACACATTAAAATCATAATAGAGTATTAAAATCCACTCTAAACAAATTTTCAGCAATATATACTATTTTAAAACCCCTCATAATTTAATTAAAGTAAGCTGAAATTATATTTAAAACACCATAGTTAAGTCCCAATTAATGGGTAATTAAAATTTCTTCAAGAAACATAATATTAAGTGTTCTACATAAAATTCTAGCACTTTATTTTAATTAAAACTTGCTGTAATTAAGCCTTAAAACACTTAAAACAAAGGTCTACCCCAATATACATCATAATCCTTCAATAACTCATAAATCAAGAACCTAGGGTTTCAAAAATTGGGGCTTTTTAATTAAAAACCAAATCTGAAAATTAATTAACATAATTATAATCATCAAACATCAAAATTAAATCCCCAAACTTATAATTTACAATTAGATTAAAGCCTAGATTAAATTTGAGTAAGAAAGATTTGATTTTAAATTTTTTTTTCGAAAGCTCCGACTGCCGACAGCAGGCCGCCGCCACTGCCGGCTGCTGCCAGCGCTGGTGGTCGCCGCTGTTGCCGGCTCGTGGCTGGTGGTCGGCAGCCCACCGGTGGTGGTGGTTGCCGGTGGTGGTGGTGCGAAAACAAAAAGGGGAAGGGAAGGAGAAAGAAAAAGAAAAGGAAAGAAGAAAATAAGGAGAAAAGGGAGAGAAGTTTACCTTGGGTTTTCTCCACTCTGGGCAAAGTTGAATTTCCTCATAAGAGGGTTATTTATACCCCTTCTCTATCACCCTTTTTACTCTAAACTTTCCTCCTTTAGTTTTTCCTAATCCCTTCCCTACTAAACTTGTTAAAATCATAATTTCCTAAAATAAAACCCCAACTTTTATAAAATAATTAATTAATTAAACTTTCCTTTAGTAAAAAATATTCCCAAACTTACATAGGATAAATAATTAAAACATCATAATTAAAATACTAAAATTATTTAAATACCCTTATAAAATACATATTTTAAATAAAATATGTATAAAAATACGGGGTATTACAATCTACCCCCCTTAAAAAAAAAGTTTCGAACGAAATTCAAAACTTTTCCTCTTTATGTATAGTATTGTTGTACTTTTTGTTATTCCTTTACTCCTTTGTGTCTCTTTGAGAGCACTAATACTCAAAATACTTAATAGAATTTGTGCAAAAAGCACCAAAAATATGTAAAATATAGGTAAAAAGCGCGAAATTCTATCGCATTCTACCCCCCTTAATGAAAACGAGTTACGCCCTCGTAATAACTCAACATACCTGAAACAGCTCCGGGTATTTCTTTTTCATTTCATCTTCTGCCTCCCAAGTGGCTTCCTCATATTCTTGGTTAGACCAAAGTACTTTCACAATGTTAACGTTCTTATTGCGTGTACTACGCACTTTACTGTCAAGAATCTTGACAGGTCTCTCCTCATAAGTTAAGCTTTGATCTAACTCAATGGATTCGGGTTGTAGCACATGGGATTTATCAGGAATGTACCTTCTCAATTGGGACACATGAAATACATCATGTACTTTACTAAGCTCCATAGGTAAGGCTAACCTATAAGCTACTTTGCCTATTCTTTGTAGTATTTCATATGAACCAATGTATTTTGGACTGAGCTTTCCTTTCTTTCCAAATCTCATCACTCCTTTCATTGGTGACACCTTTAACAACACTTTATCACCAATTTCGAACTCTTCTTCCCTTTGCTTTAAGTCTGCATAACTCTTTTGGCGATCTTGAGCTACTTGAATTTTAGCTTGAATTTCCCTTACTTGCTTAACTGTATCTTCAATCATTTGAGGCCCTAGGATCATAGTTTCACTAATTTTGTTCCAACAAATTGGACTACGACATTTCCTCCCATACAAAGCCTCAAATGGTGCCATTCCTATGCTCGCATGGTAACTATTATTGTAGGAAAATTCAATTAAATCCAAGCTATCTTCCCATCCTCCCTGGAAGTCTATTACACAAGATCTCAACATGTGTTCCAAGGTTTGAATGGTTCTCTCAGTTTGCCCATCTCTGGCAGGGTGAAATGTCGTACTCATCTTAAGTGTTGTACTAACATTTTCTTGTACACTTTTCCAGAATTTTGAGATAAACCTGGAATCTCTATCATATACAATATCCTTTGGAACCCCATGTAACCTCACAACATGTTTGATGTAAGCTTTTGCAACTTTCTCCATTTTCCAAGTTTCTTTCATTGGTATAAACACTACTGATTTCGTAAGTCTATCCACCACTACCCAAATGGTATCATTTCCACTCTTTGACTTAGGAAGGCAAGTCACAAAATCCATTGAAATGCAATTCCACTTCCATCCTGGAATTTCTCATGACTGCACCGTCCCTTGAGGCCTTTTGTGCTCTATCTTCACCTTTTGACATGTTAAACACTTTGCCACAAACTCAGCAACCTCATTTTTCATTCTAGGCCACCAAAACATCTTCTTCAAATCCTTATATAGCTTGTCTCCTCCCGGGTATACAGAGTAAGGTGTATTGTGGCCTTCTTCCATCAACTTTCTCTTCACTCCCTCACATTTCTGTGGTACGCACCATCGATCTTTGTACCTCTAACTCCCATCTTCGTGAATCTTGAAGTCTGTAGTCTTTCCCTGCTTAATTTTCTCGCGAATCCTATCCAACTTTACATCTCCCTCTTGGTTGGCTCGAATCTCGTCGAATATTTTTGGTTGGATGCTCAGACTCACAAGAATACCCGCTGGTACTCCCCATTCTACAACCTCTAGATTCAATTTCATAATTTCCCTACATAATTCATTAGCTACTACTAACGAGTTTATTCCATGACTAGTTTTACGACTTAGAGCATCCGCAACCACATTCGCTTTCCCTTCGTGGTATTGTATGTCTAAATCATAATCTGTCGTATACTCTAACCATCTCCTTTGACTAGAGTTCAAGTCCTTTTGGGTGAAAATGTACTTTAAGCTTTTATGATCTGTGTAAATTCTACATTTCACTCCATACAAATAATGGCGCCAAATTTTTAGTGCAAAAATGATTGCAGCTAATTCCAAATCATGGGTTGGATAGTTTACTTCGTGGGTCTTTAACTGCCTCGATGCATATGCAATCACCTTCCCATTTTGCATAAGCACGCACCCTAAACCATTCTTTGATGCATCGCTATACACATCATACAGTTCACTATCATCCGGAAGTGTAAGCACTGGTGCTGTAATTAGTTTGTGTTTCAAGAGTTGGAACGCCTCTTCACACTTATCATCCCACTCAAACATCTTGTCCTTCTTCATCAAGGTGGTCATAGGTTTGGCAATCTTGGAAAAATCCTTGACAAAACGCCTATAATACCCTGCTAAACCTAAGAAACTTCGCACATTAGATACTGTCTTGGGTGTAGGCCAACTCTTAACAGCTTCTATTTTGGCTGGGTCTACCTCTACTCCGTCCTTGGACACGAAATGTCCCAAAAAGGCTACCTTTTCCAACCAAAACTCACACTTAGAGAATTTTGCATAGAAGTGGTTTTTCTCTTAGTGTTTGCAAAATTGCCCTTAGGTGTTCTGCGTGCTCTTCCTTGCTCTTTGAGTAAACCAATATATCATCTATGAACACTACTACAAACTTATCCATAAATTGATGAAATACCCTATTCATGAAATCCATAAAGATTGCTGGAGCATTTGTCAATCCAAAAGGCATAACTGTAAACTCGTAGTGTCCATACCTTGTCCTAAATGCGGTTTTAGGAATGTCTTCGTCAGCAATCCTCAATTGGTGATACCCAAATCTCAAGTCGATCTTTGAAAACACTGTGGCACCCTTTAGTTGGTCAAACAAATCATCAATTCTTTGTGAAGGATACTTATTCTTTATGGTTACTTTATTTAGTTCCCTGTAGTCAATGCACAACCTCATACTTTCATCCTTCTTTTTCACGAATAGATTTGGCGCTCCCTGACGAGGGGAAAACTAGGTCGTTATCTAATCTTCCCTCGGTCAAACTAAATTTATAAACACTTAACAAACCTAAATACGAGTATAGAGGCAAGTCAAGGGTCGAACCCAAAGGAACGGTAATGTTCAAGCACTTTCAATTATGCGCCTAAGCTAGGTCGAAGACGAAGGTAAGAGAGAATACTAACAACTAACAAAACAAGTAACCAAGGAAATAAAACACTAGGAACGGGGATCAATAAGTAATCATGTCAATTGCAACAACTTGGGAAGAGCATGCCAATAAAAGGTTGTGAGGACTAAATGATAAGAGCAATCAATAGGAATCAAAGAGCTATCTCCTAATTGTTAAGCTAGGGTCCACTATGAATAAAAAACTAAGAGAATCACAATCAAAACCAATTGATAATTGCAATTCCTAAATCAATTGTTCATGTCATTAGCAATTACAATGCAATCTAGCATAATTCTCAAGGCCAAATTGAATTACACACATGCAAACCTTCACTAATCACTTTAATCTCAACAATCAATCAACACAATTCCCAAATTAATCACAATTAATCAATCATACAAGTTTCACCCAATTCCTAGCCAAACAACTATTCAAGAATCATCATCTATCAACTAACAACTATGGAAATCAAGAATCAACAAAATACCAAGAACAATTACACTAATCAAGCATCAAGCATCAAAATTAAACCAAACAAACATCAAATTAAACAAAGAAATTGAATGAGATAGAGTTTAGAAATGCTCATTGATAATTAAGGAGATCTCCAACAAAATTGTCACACTTGCATCTTCAATCTCTCAATCACCATTGAAATTCCTCACTTTCTCTCTCTAAAACTACTCCTAATCTAGCCTAATCTAGCCTAATCTAGAGAGAGAAGTTCTCAACCTAAGATAGAGAAAACTATTCTAAAACTAAAGAATTACATCAATAAAGAATAAAGGAAAACCAAAAACTATATAAACAAAAGGAGAAAAGAAGCTTAACATCGTAAAAGACCCAGAAACCCGCGCCCGCGGAGGGGAACGGACACCCTAATAGCCGCGCCCGCGGCCTAAGCCCGCGCCCTCGGGGAGCCCTTGGGACAACCGCGGGTGCTTACTGTCCAAATATGGCAGTTTTGGAGCTGCAGCAACCCCGCGCCCGCGGTGGTTTTCCAGGGCCAACTTCAAAAGGCTGTAACTTCCGATCTAAGAATTGTATGAAGGCGTGCGACCTATCATTGGAAATCTCTTCAAGTCTAGTTTCCAACCCCAACTTGAATCACCCTAATCCGATCTGTAGAACTTGAGATATGCTAAAACAATGAACAAAGGTCCTATTTGATACTTTGCAATCCTTCGTTTTACTTTGTTTCAAACTCAAATTCAATTCCGAAAAGTGCATATTTATCCTAGTGGGTGCTATTTTCAATTCCCATGCATATAGCCCACGACGTACCTACAAAACAAGACAAAGAAACGAAGAAGCAAGAGAAATAGCCGAGAAATGAATAAAATGATAAGAAAGCCATTAAAAGCATGCATTTCTCCAAACTAACACAAAAACACGCGAATCGAGCATTATTCTCTAAAAACATGACATAAACGACTGCAAAGGAGCATAGAAATATAAAGAAAACATAGCCTAAAGGTGCCATAAATGGCACGGATCATTCCCCAAGGAGAAGCACTTGGTCTAATGTATCCCTTTTCCAATAAATCTTGCAATTGCTCCTTTAATTCACTTATTTCTGCAGGTGCCATTCGATATGGTGCCTTGGATATTGGGGCTGTTCCGGGAACTAAATCTATGGTAAAGTCGATTGCCCTCTTAGGTGGCATTCCAGTAATCTCCTCTGGAAATACATCCAGGAATTCATTGACTACTTCTATATTTTCTGGATTTGTCACTTGTTCATGGTTCATATTCCTAACACTACAGAAATATACTGGATGTCCCTTCTTCATGTATTTTGCTAATTTTAGCACTGATATTACCCTTGGGCACTTGGTTTTACCATTCATCTGGTAAGTCACTGATTCATTTCCGCTTGTGACCATCTTCACTTTCTGTGATCTACAACTAATCTCAGCATTATACTTACTCAACCAGCCCATTCCCAGAATAAGATCAAAGTCACTCAACCCAAACTCAATAAGGTCAGACGGGAATATCTTTCCTTCTATTTCTAAAGGCACATTTCTAAAGGTTTTGGTATATTTCCCTACCCCACCTGTCGGAATGGTTATGGGTAAATCTACTACTTCTACTGTCTTTAAACAGTCTTTAAGTTTTGAAACAATACCCTTGGAAACAAAAGAAAAAGTTGCACCAGAAATCAAACAATACTTTAACAGGAATAGAGTTAATAGAAAAAGTATTAGTGATAACATCTTTCGTGGCATCCGCCTCATGCCTACTTAGAACATTCAGTTTCCCTGCAGTTCCACCCTTCTGTTGGCTATTCACACTGGTGGTGTTACTGTTCTTTGCCCCATTTTGTTGCACTCCCTTGTTCCTAGTAAAATTGTTGTTGTTCCCCTGGAAATTTCTCTAGTTTCCTCCTGAATTATTGTTGTTTTGCCTGTTCCCGTTGCTATTCTTGGAGAAACACTCATACTCCCTATGCCCAAGTTTATTACAAACACGACAAGCGACCAAATTTCCCTCGTAATCCTTTCCAGGGTGGTTATTCCTACACCTCTTGCAAAAATAAATCCTCCCATTCTTGTTATTCCCCTGGTTATTGTTTCTAGCCCCTCCGTTGTTGTTACGATTTCCTTGACGGTTATTACCCTGGAAGTTATTATTGTTGTGAAATTTATTGTTATGGTGGTACTTCTGCTTCCAGAAACCTGCCCCACTTCTTTCCTCTTCTCTCTTCCTTCTATTTCAGCTAACTCCTTCTTCTTCTTCTCCTCCAATGCATAAAGGTGTGCGGCCCTTCCATATACTTCATCCAGGGTCTCAAATACTTGCCCGCACAGCTTTAACTGCAAATCAGTAGTTAAACCACTCTCCAACTTCGTAGCTTTTTCTTTCTCCGTAGCGACATACTCTTTAGCAAAACGGGACAACTCAATAAACTTGGTGTAGTATTCCGTAACTAACATCCTTTCCATCTTAAGGTTTGAGAATTCCTCAGCTTTTTACTTCTGCAAAAAGCTAGGATAAAACTTGTCTCTCACTTTCTCTTGGAATTTAGTCCAATTGAACCCAGGTAGCGCTCTAATGGTAGTCTCATTTTGTTGCCACCAAAGGTCAGCTTCACCCATCAGATAGTAAGTATCACAATTCACTTTTGAGTTCTCAGGGCATCCCACAGCTCCAAATATAGTTTCTCAAATTCCCTCAACCAGTTTCCCAATATGGTAGGGTCAGGCTCGCCTTGATATGTTGGTGGCTTACTTTGTGCCACCTTCTTAAAGAGCTCCCCCTGAGCATCCCCATTACCAGTTGAGTTTTTTGCCAATTGTTGGGCAACTGCTGCCAATTTCCTCACTACTTCATTCAAATCATTTTCACCATTACCAGAACCTCTTCCCCCAGCCATTTTGCTTCTCCTGAATTGAGGACAAGGGTCTATATTAGAAATGGCTATGTTTAGTTCTCAAGACATACACTCATCTATTACTTAGCACTCTTTAAACATTCATAGTAAAATTTGAAGCTAACAATTTGGGATAGCGAAAGCTAAGAATTCCCTAAATTCGTAGCTTTGTCAATTAGTTATTGATTGCTAACCAACCATACATTTAATAAAGCATCACATAGATAATAATAAAAAAAAATTCCCATAGATGCCCATAGCTTAGAAATATTTATTGGAATTAAGTTGCTTGGAATTTTGGTTATTGAAATAGTGATGTGAAATGGGAGATTTGGAAAATAAATGAATTTATTTATTAAAAAAAAAATTTTGACAAGGAAATAAATAAGGTCTTATTAATTAAAATAGACTGAAATTACTAAAATAAAAATTGTTTTCTAGAGACTTGTGTGGTCATGCCACTTATTAATTTAAAACTAAAATAATAATAACTAAAATAAAGACTGTGAATTCATGACGAGGAAAGTTAAAAAATCTAATCCTTTCGAATGTTGTCCCTTTTGTTAGTGGATTGTTTGTAGCTTGAAAGATCAAAATCAGAATCATTTGACTCCTCCATAGGTTCAGGTGACTCAGGTTCAGGTTCTACTTGTACAAACTCCCCTTATTCCTCCTCATCCGATGAAATGTCTATTATTATTGGAGTTGGAGGTGGATTAGGATTAGAAATCTCCATAAGTGAACTATCTCCCTCTTGTTGTTCTCCATTTTCTGCCTGACTACCCCCTGACGAAGAAGAAGAATTTCCTGGTTGTTGATTAGGAGGAGGATTCTTCCCTACTGGATTACCGTAGTAGTGGTCAGGGTAGGGAAGATTTAAGTGCTGACAATGAGATTTCTTCACTCTTACGAGATATTTAGTTAAGAAAATATAGTCTGGATACCACTGGCCATAATAGTCTTTGTATCTATGGTAATTTGGAATGTCTCCTGGAAGGTAAAAATCAGAAAATCTCTGTTTGACAGCAATGTAAGGGGGCTCCTCTGGAAGACAATGGACAATCATAGCCGAAATACGATCAGGGGTGTCATAAACTCTGTCTCGTAAGACATTGCTCATGTAGGAACAAAAGTATCTGATCTTTTCTACAAAGTCGTAGGGGTGTTCATTATGTTTCTTCACAAGAGATCCCATTTGTATAAATTTGCTAGGAAAGATTGGCATCCTGTAGAGAAAAAGCTTAGAAAAGAATTCCCTTCCCAAAAAGAAATAAAACAAATTATACAGTCTTGTAGGAAATTAAGTTTGGTGTTCAATCATACAATTTCGAAGGATCACATAGAATAATACACATATTGCATGCTTTCATCAACAAACATCTAGTCAAACAACATGCTTGAACACTCAAAATAAAATTATGCACACAGAGAATAAATTAAATTCTAGCCTATACGCCCTTTTCTTTTCCTACCAAGCTCACCAACATGTTAATAAAACCTTTTAACACATAATTCTTACCTTAATCCTTGCTCCCTGCAAAACTTTAAAAAAAAATATTTTTACCTTTCTAAAAAAAAAATTCGAAATTAATGGGAAGAGGGCCAAAATTTCGGCTCTACTAAAAAAATAAATTCCGACACTCAAAAAAAAAATCGAGTGTCCCCCATAAAAAAAATCGGACCAAAATAAAATAAATGAATAAAAAAAAAATTCGGCCCCTTAAAAAAAAATTAAATAAAATCGGAACAATTAACATTGCATAATATAATTAACACTTGGCCAAGTTTAAATCATAGTAACAAAAACGTTTTCGGGTTAGTGGTAATTTAAAATCTCAACCTAAGCTCCCAGATACCACTTTGTAACACCCTAGAAATTCCTTTCTTTTAAATACCCAATTTACTTTTTTTAAAATACGATTTAGGAATATCTAAGACATTACCGTCACCGTGAAAACGGCTAAGGAAATTATCAAAGATACACAGCGGAAGACTTAAAATTAAAAAACGTTTAAACAAGTCAACTCAAAAGTCAACTAAACGAAAGTAAAGTTTAAAACCAAACAAACAACGTCAAATAAAATAAAACTACAACTTGGAACCATTAAAGGCCCTTGTTCAAAACCGTTCCAAAACCAAACCTTTGTGTTTAGTCCACATAAAATATGTCATAAATAAATAAAGCATAAAACACATCGTAAACTAATGGAAGCTAGCAAGATTCACTCTTCTCTCATGCCCCATCATGAATATGCTTCAATACCTGAAAAGTTTATCTGTACTTGTCTCCACTACTCTCCATTAAAAATGGGTCATCATAGGGCCAAGATAAAGACATGGCCAAACACACAAACACACACAATCAGGAAAGCTGAGTACATAAGTGTAATTAAACACACTAACATGCTTTCACCTATCAACACACCTACCTTATTGCACCTGTTTACAAGCACACACAACAATCAACAAGACACATTAACTAGACACTAAATAATTCATTTAGCATTGATTACGCATCGAACGGGTTTCCCACTATCCTCCCCAAAATAAATTAAGGTTAACTGACACGGGAGCTAACTGTGCCAGCGACAAAACCACTCAAAGGTGGCGAAATTCCTACGCAGAATAATAAATAAAAAGGAATGTACAGCGTCCTATACTCCATTAGAAGTTATGGTTAAATATAAACCCCATAACTCCCCCCATTGTTCATACTCAAGGTATATACGTTCCAAGAGTTTTGGTGCGTAATCTCTTTCACTTTACGTTATTTACATGTTATTGGACTTGGTGATGACTCTCAAAGCATACTAAATCAATCAACAATATTTCTTCAATCAACCAAGAATACCAATTTAATTCTTGAATAATTTATGACCACATATTATTTAATGTTGAACCCTTTTTAATTCTACCTCAGTGTCAAAAACACCTTAAACGCATAAAGCGCCAAAAATCCTATCTCTCGGTGTTAAAAACACCTTAAGTGCACAAAGGCACCAACATACAATTTATTCCTTGTGTACATAGACACTTATATAGCTCCTTCCTCATTCTTAAAGCATCAATAAAAATTATTTGAACCATAATAAAATTCCTTTTCAATATTTCTAACATAATTAAACATGTAGTTTAATTAATCATGCATTCTAACATGCCATAAATAAAAGTGTGGTTCAAACACAACATGCTAAACATTAATTTTCCAACTATTAATCCATCTCAAATAAATCATACTTTCTAATTTAATCACCAAAATCGATAATCCACAATTTCCAATCATAAATCTTAGCATGATACTATTTAGGATTAATTGAATCAAGTCTAGCATGATACTACATCACCAAAACTATGCTATTAACGCGTACGTACCTTGAGTACGAATTTAAAATTGCCACGACTAGTAGAAATTGCTTATTTCAAAGTCTCCTACACATTAAAATCATAATAGAGTATTAAAATCCACTCTAAACAAATTTTCAGCAATATATACTATTTTAAAACCCCTCATAATTTAATTAAAGTAAGCTGAAATTATATTTAAAACACCATAGTTAAGTCCCAATTAATGGGTAATTAAAATTTCTTCAAGAAACATAATATTAAGTGTTCTACATAAAATTCCAGCACTTTATTTTAATTAAAACTTGCTGTAATTAAGCCTTAAAACACTTAAAACTAAGGTCTACCCCAATATACATCATAATCCTTCAATAACTCATAAATCAAGAACCTAGGGTTTCAAAAATTGGGGATTTTTAATTAAAAACCAAATCTGAAAATTAATTAACATAATTATAATCATCAAATCTCAAAATTGAATCCCCAAACTCATAATTTACAATTAGATTAAAGCCTAGATTAAATTTGAGTAAGAAAGATTTGATTTTTAAATTTTTTTTTTCGAAAGCTCCGACTGCCGACAGCAGGCCGCCACCACTACCGGCTGCTGCCAGCGCTGGTGGTCGCCGCTGCTGCTGGCTGGTGGCTAGTGATCGATGGCCCACCGGTGGTGGTGGTTGCCGGTGGTGGTGGTGCGAAAACAAAAAGGGGAAGGGAAGGAGAAAGAAAAAGAAAAGGAAAGAAGAAAATAAGGAGAAAAGGGAGAGAAGTTTACCTTGGGTTTTCTCTACTCTGGGAAAAGTTGAATTGCCTCATAAGAGGGATATTTATACCCCTTCTCTATCACCCTTTTTACCCTAAACTTTGCTCCTTTAGTTTTTCCTAATCCCTTCCCTACTAAAACTTGTTAAAATCATAATTTCCTAAAATAAAACCCCAACTTTTATAAATAATTAATTAAACAAACTTTCCTTTAGTAAAAAATATTCCCAAACTTACATAGGATAAATAATTAAAACATCATAATTAAAATACTAAAATTATTTAAATACCCTTATAAAATACATATTTTAAATAAAATACGTATAAAAATACGGGGTATTACATATAGACTCGTAAATATAGAACTAGTTGTTGGTGCGTGCGCAATGCGCCCCCCCCCCCAACTTCATGCTATGTGAATGGTGCTCCTGTTAATTCCGTGTATTTGAGAAGCGTTTAAGTATAAGA